AAGTTGTCTCCTTGTTAGTTAGGAAGAGATGAAGCTATAGGGGGTCATCACCTAGAAAATCTCCCAGCCATTCGCAGTGGGCATGAGCTCTCCCTTAACCTGGGACCTGTTTCTCTTTACAGTAACAGCTAACACTCATTGTAGCACAACTGAGCTCATTTAAGTCACGCAAAACCCTAGGGAATGGTATAATTATTTTAATCACTTGCATGAAGTCACACAACTAGCGACAGTCCAGTTATGCCATTTGTTCGAGTCTCTGGTTTTGACCACTAAGTCACATGGCCGACACCCAGCCCACCATTGCTTCAGAACCTCTAGCTTAGAGCCCCGCTAAATGATTGGCTCCTCCTTAGCTGCAGGCATCTAAAATCCTTAGACTGCTTCCCCCTGCTGTGCCAGCCATCTTCTCAGATCTGCAGGACGTTTGTGTCTCAGATGTGAAAAGGGCACACTTGGAGGGGTGCTCATCTTGTAAGAACCCGGGGGGCGGTCGGTAGTCATGACTGCTCCGTTCAAACATGCCTCCCCTCAGACCCTGCGGTCGGCTCCCTCAGCCCACAAGTTCTGTTTGTTTAGTTTCGTATGTTCTTCATTCACCAATTAATTAAAGTAATACATGCATACAGCAATAAATACTTAAGCAATATAGAACAATAGAAACTGGAAAGTAGGAATGTTTCCCCCCTTCCCTATGCCTGTGTTTAATTATTTTTGTTCCTTGTTCTTCTGGTGGTTATTTCCAGACTTTAATGTCTGAATGCCTTTACGTCTTTTTCTTGGTTTCTCAGCTTTACATAGTCTTTATTCATTTCTTACTGTAAAAGACAAAGGATAAAACTCATTTGCAGTAACTATCCATTCTAATTTCCCTTTTGTTGTTGTTCGCCTGTGTGATTTTAAACAGTATATTTACATTAATATTTTTAAAAATTCATCTTTCTTGATATCTTAACTTCAAACAGTACTTCCTGATTCTTTACTCTGAAATAAGAAATTTACCTCCCTGTGCATTCTGACTTGTCAGTTGCTTTATCATGTTTATGTTGCCCGTTTAAAATATTTACATTCTGTTCCATAACTACCATTAGGTCCTCTGTGTTTTTTTTATATGTTGATTTTATAGATTGAAAATCAGTGAGTATTTATGTCATGATTATGTAATTATTGTTCTCTTCATAAGCAAGTAGGGGGATTAGACCCAGAGAAAGATGCAATTCTGTTGTTAAAGTAGTCAAACGAGGAGGCTGTCAGACGGAGACGGCCTGATGCTTGGCGGCCTGCCCGAGCGATCCGAAACCTCAGCCGGAGTCAAGTCCTATATATGCACTGGCATTGGAGAAAACAGAATTTAAAAACAACCAGTCACAACAGCCCACTGGACTTGCCTAAATAAGGCAACCACGTAGCCAATTGATTCATTCCTTGCTTTGGGTCCACATCTGCTCTCTAAAAGCCTTCCCCCTAGTTTCTGTCCACCCTGTACCCTAAAAACTTTTGGTTTGTTGCAGGTGGATTCTAACCAGTGTTTGCTCAAGTACTCTTCAAAAATGTAATGTGCCTTAGTTTATCTTTTTTATCACTATGTTGCTAAAACTCCTCCGTTCAAAGGGAAATGCTCCCAGATCAATGGGATTCTTGCTTCAGATGGATTCTATTTTCATACCTTTATCCATGCTCCTAATCATGACCTGTTTTCATTTGCATATATTTGGACTGTGACTTTCTTGCAAAGCTCTTTGTTAATTTACTTTTCCTGATTTTCTTAACCACCTTTCTTTCTTCTTGTTCACAAACCAGTCCTCTTCTTTTACCTTGTCAATAAGATCATCCAGCTTCTAATTTCACGTAATTGAAAAATGTAAATTTCCTTGACTTTTTAAAAACATTTAATTTAAATTTTTTTTAGCCCTGAACCTGAGCTGAAACATCACTGAACGCGGAAGTTATGAACATTCCAGTGACACATGAGGACGTCCAGGAAGCCAGCCAAAGATGTTCTTTCTATGTAGTCTCCTGGGGAAAGAATTGGATCTGGGTTCAGGTTCTTTTTTGCAGAAACTGCTTGATTTCTCTGCACCTCAGCATTGGCCTCCATGAAACATTGATAGCTACCATTTATTGAGCCTCAATTGCATGCTAAACACAGCATTCTAAGCACTTTACACACATTACTTTGGGCCATCTCCAAAATAACTCCGTGAGCTAGGTCCAATCATCATCACAATTTTAGACACAACAAACTAAGGTTTAACAAAACTAGGTAATTTGCTCAAGGTGGTGAGTAGCAGAGCCAAGAATTGAACCCAGATGGCCAGACTCCAAAATCCACATTCTTCAGGGCTACATTATATTATTTCTACTAAAGAATTTCTCCACTCCCTTTTCCCAATACATCCAGTGATTCTGTGAGCCTTTTATTCTAGTAAGTCCTGATACCTTCAGAGCCTTGAGTTTTGAGGGAGGGAGGCTCCTTGACTCTTGAAGATATTCTTCTCAAATAACCCTGTCTTCCTTTCCTAATGTGCTTGGTCTCTTTCTAGTCACTCCGGAGAGACTGTCACTCTTGGGTTTCAATCCATTCTACTTCTGTGTCACTTCCACTCTTTCTGGGCCCCATGCTCCCCTCTCCAATTTCTGTCTTGCTTGGCTGGCTTATGCTTTCAAATTATTGTGACACAAGGGTTGCATTGGAGGCCAACTTTCTGGGTGTTTGAATGTCTCAAAATCTCTTCTACCCCTATTCCTTTGATTGATTTGGTTCGAATGATAGGTTTAAGATCATTTTTCCTCTCTTTTTTGACCTCTAGCATAGAGTTTTAGTGATGCCAATTTGAGATGCGTTGCTTTTTAGGTAACCTGTTTTATTTTTTCCTAAATATGTACAATCATTTCATCTGTAGCATTTCTAAACTTCAACTGGGATATATTTCGGTGGTGGACCTAGTTTGTATTTTTTTGTAATAAGCTCCAGACATCTCTCTCTCTTTTCTTTCTTTTGTAACTTTCTCCCCTCCATTTTCTCTTCACCCATTTTCTGGAGTGCTCATGAAATGGATGATCCACTCAAGGGACTGATCCTCTAAGTCTCTTAACTTTTCTCTGAAATTTTCTACCTCTTTGGCTTTTAATCTATGGTCTGGAGGATTTCTTTGAATTTGTCTTCCAGCGGATCTACTGATCTTTTCTTGACAGCAACTGTGTCTTTACTTTCCAGTAATTCTGTCTTGCTCTAGGAGTATGTTCTTTTTACAGTAACAGCTTTTGTTTGGTGGGTATGAATCTCCCTGGATGACGTGAGTGCACCAAGTAGTTATTTTAAAAGTTCTCCTCCGTTTGGTCCCCTCTGGGTTCAGAGCTGCGCTCATTCGTCCAGGTTTTGTTGTCATGCTGATTTCTCTCAAATACCTAGTGACCCTTGGAAGTCCACTCATGTTTTCTGAGTGAAAGGGAAAGTTTATTAACTTCTGAAGCCAGCATGCATTTCTCTGTAGGTGCAGAGTCCTGTTTGTGTGCCAGGCCTCTTTCCTAAATGGAAGGCAATGAGGTCCTAGACAAAGTGCCTGCCCTCGTGCTAGCTCTAGTCTTAGAGATGCAAATATCATATACATAGTGGGAGAAATATAAAATTTTGATAACATTTGATGAGAAATAATAGGACTTTATGAGTGAGTGTAGCTGAGAGATCTGAGTTAGACTGGAGTTTTCGGGAGGGCTTGTCTGAGGAGGTGACATTCATACTGAGTCCTGAAATATGGGTTGGGGTTGCTGGGAACAGTTGGCATAAGGGCCTTTCAAGTAGAGGGAACAGCATGTTTAAAGGCACTGTGGCAGGAAATGTAGTGGGGTATTTCGGGCACTGAAAGGAGACCTGTGTAGCTATGACCAGTGATCAAGGGCACGTGTCCATTGCTTTAGGGTAGAGAAGTGGCCATCCTGTGTTAGCTGGGTTATGTCAGGTGTGAAGTGGTTGTGGGACATCCAGATGTAGGTGTCTAGTAGGCCCCTGAGTACTTGGGTCTGGAAAGAATTGCACCAAGGAGGCCAAAGGATCTCGTTTCGGGAAGGGGAGGGATGAGTCAGTAGTGCCAAATGCTGTCCCTCTGACAAATGAACAATAGCTGAAATGGGGGGAGTCAGATTTGAATCAAAGACAGTTTTGATGACCTGGGAAGGAGGGGTCTTTTAATAGGGTGTCTGTGGAGGCCGGAGCATGTAGACTGAGGGGTAAGGGGAGGGTGAGCAGCCGCATGGGGGTGCGGGGGGAGGGCTGCTTAGCGCCTTCAAGAAGCATTGGCTGTGAAGGGGAAGAGAAGGCAGCAGCCAAAGGGAAGCGTATCACGACACGGGTTCCTACATCAAAATTATTCTGCCGACTGTGAGCTCCGGAAGGGCCGGAACCATTTCTTACACTTCTTTCTGTCCTCTGGGCCAGCACGGTAACTGGAATGTGCTGGCTGATCAAACTGTGTTTATTGACTCTGTTGGAACGTACAGAACCTTAGCAAAGAGAGGTGTCCTACGGTTCCGTGGCAGGTGGAGCCGCTCAGTGTTTAGCCTCCAGTCCTTCTGCTGGGGGTGATCACGGGCCCGGGGAACTACAGGCTGCGCTGCTGATGGTCATGGCTCGAGTAAGTTGTCCTTGTCAGCTGGCCTCCTGGGGGTTAAGCTGCTGAAGGGTCTACCTGGGGAAGACTGAAAGGACCCAGTGGGTCTGCTCGGTACCCCCAGGTACTGGTTTTAGAGTCGAACGGGCCTCTCAGAGTAAAAACAGCTGTAGACCTTGTCTTACTTTGACTGACTACCTACTATGCATTGATCACTGTACCAAGTGTTTCCCACATTCTCTCATTATTTAACGAGATCTCATATTCACCACTGTTATTTACATTTCCTAGATGACAGCATGAAAGCTCTGAGGAAGCCAGTGTATTTTCTAAGGTCCCATGTGTCGTAAACAGCAGAGTCAGGATTTGAACCCAAGTTTTCTGTTTTCACAGGACACACGCTCCCCTCTACAAAGGCATATGGAAGATCTACGGGGTAGCAGAGGAACGAGATGTGCTTTAATGGTCCGAGAGTCTTGATGGCGTGTCTCTTCAGTCACTTTCGAGGGACATGAAGAGCAGATGGTAATTGAATGATCCCGGGTGGGAGGAGGTGGGGGCGGGGCGGGGGCGGGGCCGCAGACAAGATGGATTCATCAAGGGAATGGGACAGCCTAATGCAATTCAGGTGAGTGGGCCCCTGAAGGCCTGCGCCAGGGGGACGCTCATAAAATGGGGGTTTTAACCTCCAACCTTATGGCTTTTCAGAGAAGGAGAGGATTCTGGTTTTTTTTTTATGTTTTATTTTTCCTCAGCTATTTGCCTTATGAAAAAAAAGTGCATGGAGGGAAGGGGTTGTGATTTGTTGATATACCAATGGCCAGAACACATCATTCAGAAGACTAAAGAATATTTTTGTTTAAAAATTAAAAAATTTTTAACTTTTTCTCATTTTAAGTGTAATAATAGGAAAAAGTAATAGAGAAAGTATAAAACATTGAGAGATTTGCAGAAGAAAGTAGAAATCACCTTAAATTCCCGTGACCTGGAGTTAATCATTGTTCGAATTCTGCAGTCTCCTAGTCTAAAGAAGGTTTTTGAAAAATCCAAAGCTCCTTTAAATTCACATAAAATATTTAAAGGAATCATAGGCAAGTCTTCCTTTTCCCTGCAGGCATCTTTGATCTTACACTAATGGAAGAAGGGAAGAGTCTATTTTTTCTTAAAAGTGCATAGAAAAGGAATGTTCTTAGCTGTCCATGGCGGTACATTCCAGCGGGCCCTACGTCCTGGGAGCAGGGCGCTCTGTCAGTTTCTGATTCTAAATCCCTTTTTTTAATGCCCACCTCCTTTGGTCCTGGCAACAGTAGAAACATCTATGTATTCAATAATCACAAAAATAGCTACCCTCAGTTTGCCTTTGAGGCAACTTATGTTTTCCCAGAGGAGCTTCTGCCAAAAAACAAGACAGAACCATGAAGGGCGAGGCTGTCCTCATCATCACCGTGTCTCAGGGACTCGGCCATCACCGAGGAGATAAAGGAGGCAGAAAGGGAAACCGAGGTTAAAACTAGGAGCATTTAGGGGTCACAGATGAGAAAAGTCTTTTAATATCAGAATCATAACAAATGCCTGTGAGCACACGTTCTTTCTGAGAAAACCCAGGGGCCTCACAACTGGCTGGTGGCGAGCCCAGAACCCATGACAGCAGGCGCCCTGGCAGAAGCTAATGTGGGTAAAGTGCCCAGTCCAGGGTCTGGAGCCTTGAAGGACCCCTGGGCATGAATCCCCTCTCCTGTGCGTAGACTGTGCTCTCCGTTGCCCCAGCCACTGGCTGTGCTGTGCCACACCACGTGTCTCAGGGGGACAGGTGATGCTTTGTAGTGTGACGAAGGCCGACGGCCTGGAGATCAGCGTCGGCACTGGCCTCCTATGCACAGGGTACAACGGTTCTTGTTCCCCACTTCGGCAGGACTCACGGAGAATATCATCGGTAAGGGGCCGTGCCGAACTGAGCTACAAGAGAACTCCTTGAAGTCAGCCATCGGTGAGTCCCAAGAGACTCACGTTTCTAAGATTTTTATAAATGCATAACCTGGTTTTACTTATATTTTTGCACATGCTTATATCTTTAAAAAACATCAGGGCTACAAGCCTAAATATGCAGGGGGTCCCAAATTGCACTGACAGCAGAAAATCCTGGGATGTCCGTGATACCGTCCTGCTAGCAGGGGCAGCTCCCCAGAGAGGCCGGGACACCAGTGCTGTTTGCTCCCCCTCCTGGGGGCCCCTCTGCCCCATCGGTGTCTGTCCTGTCTGTCCGTGTCGCCTTCTCCCCGACCCCCATCCTGTGTGCTTCCCTGCCCCCTTCCCCATCTGCAGACTCCCTATTCTTATCCGAGGCAGCTCTTCTCCAGATCGAGTAATGCCGTTACCATAGCACCTGGGTACTTCACATCATCAAGACAATCTCTTTATTAGTAAGGCTGCTCCTCCACGGAAGCCAGGCGACTCAGAGCCCATTTGACAAGATGATGAACCCGGGTCTCAGGAGGCTTAGGGATCTGTTGGGGAGTCGGGACGAACAGGCCCAGAGAGCTTGGACATCACGCCCTCTCGCTGATCCACCTCCCTGCTTGGAGAGCGCCTGAGACTCTCACAGCCGTGTTTCATTGTCGCCTTTTCTTTTCATCACGCTTCCATGATAATTATACATGTTATCATGCTTCACGTTTTACAAAAGGCTTTCAAATTCATCCCTTCCTTCAATCCTCACAGTGTCCTTGTGAACTAAGAATTCTATGCTCGTTTTAAAGGCTGAGGAAGCTGGAAACTGACGTTCAGAGGGGTCCTGACAGTTCAAGGTCATACAGACACTCGGGGAAAGCTAGGACTCAAAACCAGACCCTCTGCTGTCCCTATGCCCACTTCTCTTCTTATCTTAGACACACAGGTAGATGGACAAATAATTCTAAGCCTTTTTGCAGAGGGTGCTCCATAATTATGTGTTGATTTATTGGGCTAAATATGTCTGCTTTGGGATTAAATGTATGTTACTGACTAACCATCACTGGCTTTGCGTTACTTCCCCAGTAGAGGAATAGATTCTACAACTCTTTCTTTTGAGGCCTTACCATGCAGAAGCCATGCTGGAAGTGCTGGGGTGTGAAGTGTGCCCCACACCAGCCGTGCTCCGGACAGTGAGGGGCGGAGGACGCATGTATCACGCATGCGGAGCCATCACCCAGCTCAGAGCATAATAAAGGCCCTTCATCCGTCAGCTCTTTGATGCCTGTCAGCTGCGTCCTAGGATTCAGTGCCAAGTAAGCGATATGGGCTTGCCCTCAGGCAACTTTCCATCCTTGGAGGGAGGCAGGCGTTAAGTAGTCCAGCGGCCTTTTAATCGTGCTTGGGGTGTGTGCTGGAGAGGAAGAGAGGGTGGGCAATCAGAGCATAGAAACGGAGGCTCCGACCAACTGTGGCTGGGGCAAAGGGCGGGGGCTTCATGACTTTGACCCAGAGGGGTGTGATGCCATTCCTCGGCTCCACCCCCAGAAAGGAACCTGAGATCCCAGCCTGTCACAGCAAGGCCACAGGAGGAGACAGCCTGAATCAGAAAGGGTGTGAGGGACGCGGGCTTTAGAGCAGCAAGTTCAGTGGTATGTTAGGCATCCTGGTGAGAAAATCCTAAGGGCACATGGCCAGGCTGGTGTGGACCAGGACAGAGAGCTACTCAGTGCTGGCCAGTGGGGTGGGGGTCTCCAGAGCAGGGTCAGAGAGAGGGATACAGACACACAGAGAAGGGGGGAGTGTAGGTAGAGAGAGACTCCTCCAGCTGGGGAGCACCAGGGAGGCGTGGTACGTAGGATGCTTGGAGAAGCATGAGCTGGGATTCCCCAAAGGGTGTGGGTAGTGGGGAAGATGGGGTCCAGAGGGGTGAAGCAGCTTGGGCAAAAGTGGGGAACAAAGGGCCAGGCCAGGAATATTTGGGGGAGGAGCAGGCTGTGCACTTTCTGGAGACTAGAATATGCTCAGGGTGGGGAAGGGCTGATGGGCGGGAGAAGTGAGTGGGGCCCAGCGTGGGGCCCTTTGTGGGCAGAGGGGCAGCAGTAGGAGTATTCGGTCCAAGGAGTGACATCGGAGCTCTGCATTAGGAGGCTTGATCTACCAGGAGGGCACGGGAAGGGGGGCAAAGGAGGGACCGGGGTGGCCGCTGCCCTCCACCTCACGCACAGTGTCTTCCGAGCCTGCCACTGGCCCACTGGTCAGTAAAGGGAAGCTGTGACGTAGTCCTCTGCCCGCCCTCTGGTGGAAGTAGGATGAGTGCTTTTGTGCTCCTCACAGTTACCTTTTCTTAGCTGCCAGGCATGACTGACCCCTCACCATGTGCAGACAGGGCACATCTCTGTCCCTCAAACAGTCAAGGAAATAATGGATATTCCAAAGCTATGTGTTGGATTGATTGAGTTTCCTCCCATTTTGCTTTAGTGTTTGGTGGCCTTAAGGCCTTGGAAGCTATTTTCATCTGCCAGGAGGTCAAGGGGAAGTCCTGCCTGTCTCCATCTCTGGTTTCACAGATCTGCTGACCTTGACTGGCTGGGGTCTGCAAGGAGTCCAGGCGGTGCATCAGTGCGGGGCCGGGGCGAGAGGGGGCCAGGACAGCCTCCCACAGAGGCTTTGATTTGGCGTCAGAAAGGCTGCAGCTCCTAAATATCCGCGCTCAGCCTGCTCATGTGTCCAAAATTCCACCTTAAGAGTCAGTGGTGTTTGGGCAATTTCAGAAATAGCGTTGCATCCTTAACAGCTGCTCCTGGGCGAAGTCACAGGCAGGCGGATGGCCTTCCTCTCGGCAGGCACTGCATCCAGAAACAGCTTCCAGAGCTGGCCCGTCTCCCCCAACAGCCCTTCCACTCCTCCAGCTCCGGGTTTCTCACTGGCTCTTCTGCGACTGCTTTTGCCAGTGTGTCTCTTCTCCTGCCCCTCTGAATACTAAATGCTTTCAACTCTTTCTTGTCTCCTGGGCCTCCTTCCTCCCAAGCAGGTCTTTCTAGGACCTGTGGCTACAGGCCGGCCCCACCTCCCTCTCACCTCAACCCCCACTCAACCCTTTTTCCAGAACCTTCCCCTGACAGAGCCTGGGCCTCCTGCTTGCCAGGAACAGAGGTTTGGACAGTCCAAGGATTGCATCTCCAAGGTGAAGGGAAGAATGGTGGACAGAGCCAGACTAGAGTCTAAAGCATTGCTTCCTAAGCTTGACTCCACCTCTGAATAGTTGGGACTTTGGGAAAGCAGTTAGGCTGTAAGAAGGCATTAATGCTGGCCTTATGGTGTAACCAGGAGGCGCCAGCAGGTCATCTCGACACTGTAACGCGGCATGCTTACCAGTGACGATCTGGCCGCCTTCGATACTGTTCTGTGAGGCTTGACTCTCAAATTTCACAGCTCATAGGAATCATGCATGGGGCTTGTTAAGGAGACACATGTCCAGGCCCTCTCCAGTCCCTGGGATGCTGCCTCAGGGTCCAGGTGGGGCCTAGGAATCTCATGTTAACAAGCCTTCCAGATGAGTGGGGTGCAGATGGGGC